AAGATCCACAGGGTCTACCTCCTAGTAGAAGACACGATCATGCAATACATTTGAAGGAGGGAGCCGAAATTCCAAATTTAAGGCCTTACGAGTATCCTCACTATCAGAAAACTGAGATTGAAAGATTAGTGATGGAAATGTTGGTTGCGGGAGTTATAAGACATAGCATCAGTCCTTATTCTAGCCCTATTTTATTAGTCAAAAAGAAGGATAGAGGGTGGAGATTTTGTGTGGATTATAGGGCTTTAAACAAAATTACTATTCCCAATAAATTTCCTATTCCGATTATAGAAGAGTTATTGGATGAGAATGGAGGGGCTTCTATTTTCACTAAACTTGATCTCAAATCTGGCTACCATCAAATAAGAATGAAGGAGACGGATATACCAAAGACAGCATTTAGAACTCATGAGGAACACTGAGTTTGTTGTCATGCCATTTGGTTTAACCAATGCGCCCTCAACATTTCAGGCATTGATGAACGAGGTTCTTAGACCTTATTTGAGAAAGTTTGCTTTGGTGTTTTTTGATGATATCTTGGTGTATAGCCAAGATGAGCAATCTCACATAGACCATTTGCAACAAGTGCTGCAGGCTTTAAGGGATAATTCTCTAAAAGCTAATTTGAAGAAATGTACTTTTGGACAGAAAAGCTTGGAGTATTTGGGGCATGTTATTTCAGAGAAGGGTGTAGCGGCTGATGAGGCCAAAGTAGCTGCAATGAGAAATTGGCCTATACCAAAGGATGTTAAAGGCTTAAGAGGATTCCTTGGACTCACGGGGTATTACAGAAGATTTGTGCAAGGTTATGGCAAAATAGCCAAACCTCTTACTGATTTGCTTAAGAAAGACAGGTTTTATTGGTGCGAGGAGGCTACTGCAGCATTTCAACAACTGATAAATGCTATGGTGGTTTTGCCACTCTTAGCTGTTCCAGGGTTCCAGGCTGTAAGTAGAGGCAAAATAACTAACTGATGATGGTAGTTAGTTAGGGAAAAGATATAAATAAAAGGTTATGCTCCTCTGTAGGGGGCTGTTTTTTTCGGGAGAAAAGGTTGGAACTGATTGTTAGAATCAGTTGGGGAAATTCTTTCTCTCTACCTTCAGTTTTGTTTGTAATCTGAGCTCTTTTCATCAATAATACAACTTCTTTATCAAGAATCACATTGATTCTTGATAAGAATATTTAGATCCTATAATTCTTGCAAATTCTATTTCCAACTTTAACACATGATTTAATTTGCTTATGCTAAAACTAACCCTAGATTATAAAGAAATGTTCCTTGCGATCAAGAAGTGCTCCCAATAACTGGAAGGTCACTGACTGTCTTAATAAATGCATTAAGTAGTCATGCGAAGTTCTTCCATTTATCATTTTACTCTTTTTGAAAGGTGCTACTGTATGGTACTCATTCTTGAGGGCCATGCAATGACCCCATCCTTTTGAATGACTATTGAGAGGTGCATATGTGAACTATTGTTTTGTCATTAACATTTTTTCTAATTATTATGAACAAACAAAGAAAATGCAGAAATTCCTGTTTATTAATGATACAGGGTACATGATCTGCTTACTTTTTCTCTCCCCCAGTCTCTCTATTTTAGGTGATTTTGGTTAATTGCTTTTCTTGACATCTGAATTTAGTGAGTCACATTTGCACTGATAAATACATTTTCTCTTAACTGATTGGATGTTAGGATTTAAAAAGAAAAACTATTACAGTACTGGGGTGGGGGTTGGGGCATTGGAAAATTTGCATTCACTAGGTTTGAGTTTGATGCGTACAAATTTTGCCCATCCAGATTACCACCACCAGACCAAAGGCCTGATAGCATATTCGCATTCATATAAGATGCCTTTACCAGGAGATTTCTTTACTTTGTTTTAAAATAATTTTCCTTACTCCTGAGAAATAATAATAATAATAATACTGAAAAATGAATAGGGACACCTGCTGCAAGGATGAAGAAGGTTCCAAGTAATGTGGTGAAGAGAAGAAGCCGTGAACTGACAAATGTCTTTGAATCCTTCACACCATACTCTGGGATGGAAGGCAAAGTGGAAAGAATTTGGATTACTGATATTGCATCTGATGGAGTTCACTTGGTAAGGCAGTGTGGTAGATCTTGAATAAAAAATTGATTTTTGTTGCCTTTAAATTTATTCCATTAAAGTGGGTCATTTGCTGCATTCATGTGCGTGACGGGCTGAAAGAGAGATAAGGTTTTTTTTTTTTTTTCCTTTTCCATCTTTTTAGCTCATTACATTTATCAAGAGTAATATTGAAAACCACAGTTTTTGGTTTCTAATTACAATCTTTGGGAATTAAATTGGTGTAGCTCCAAAACTCTCTTGCTTTCTTTCCATGGGCCTGGAATCTTCAACACATCAAGGGTGTTGGAAGAGGTCTACTCCTATAGCATAACCATGGGTTTGGGGCCTCTTCTAGATCATAAAAGAGGGTGGGATGGGATGGGAGGAAGAAGAATGTTGTTTTTTACTTTTTGTTGCGAACTTGCAATTATAAAATGTGAACTCTTTAAAGCTCTGAAGCACTCTTTATATTGAACTTGTGACTTCTATATATTACGTATTTATTTGTGGTACCTATCATCTAATTATTTTATTTGTCGATGCCGAAGGTTGGCCATACGAAAGGATATATACAAGTTCTTGTGCTTGCTCCAGACGATATGCTGGGAACTTCAGCAACGGTTAAGATAACATCTGTGGGAAGGTGGTCAGTTTTTGGGGAAGTAATTGAGAAGGTCAACCATGTAAGCGGGAATAAAGCTCTAAACAAGCTGGTTCCTAATCAGGATATGCCTTCTCTCTGCTATAGCCCAGCCAAGACTAGTGGAATCTCAGTAGAGCCAGAATCCTGTGCTTGTGGAAATGACGGCTGCTGCAGTCAGAGTACTGTCAATGGTAAGAGTGATAATTCAAGAGGCACTGTAGTGTTACAGAATCAAAACAAAAGAAATTTCATCGGATGGATACTGAGGAAGCGGAAGCATCTGCACAAAAGGGTAGAGAGTGAGCTTGTGTCAGGATCTGTTCAAAAACAAGAAGGAAGCGGAAGGAAGTGGGACCTCGTTGACAAGGCTCTTTTGTGCGGAATATCTATCAGCATCTTGACGATTATTGCTCTAATAGTAGCTCGTACATTCAATGTTATCTGGTCCCAGTAGAAGGCCGTTAATTTTTATTTTTATTTTTTTCCGAATTTTGTATTCCAAAGTTTTGACGTGTATAAATTGCTTGGATTTCATAAAGTGTTTTCGCGGGTATTTAATGTATTGATATGATTTGATTCATAGAAAATCCTTTTGAGGATTGTTTTATGAGAGGGAACTTGCTTGCTAGTTTTAGATCATCAACACTGCCCATACCTTTGCAATAGTTACCTGTCGCGGTTAACAATAATAGGAAGTACTGCATTTCGTAATTAAATAAAGCTGTTGCGAACATGAAGAAATATTTATTATCACAGCTGAAAATGAAGCTTTGGGATATACATACTTTCATAAAACGGAAGTGTGCTTTTGGCAGTGACAGTGGAGGGGTGACTATGCACATATTTGCTGTACTATTTATACCCTCTTTGATTTACGTGTAATGGTGCAGGTCTGTTTATTGATACATATTATTTGTGCACAATAATAATTGGATGAGAAAGAAAGAAAAGAAAAGAAAAATGGAAGGGGGGCATCATAGCATGGTATCCGATTTGGATGGCAATCTCTTGAAGAAATTAACAGGTACGGACGGCATCTTGCTCCTAAACCGAGGATGACGCAGCATGTAGAGGCCTATTAGAATTGCAACCACTTGGAAGGGAGTAACATAGATGAACACAGCCCAAATGAGTGAGAAGATGATGAAGATAGAGGTAGCCCTGGAGTCTCTCCAACTCAATATGGCTTGAGCTCTTTCTCCCTGCGTAGCCAAGTCTCCGACCACAGTCTGCACTCTCCCTGCCACACTCCGCAATCTGTCATACCTCATCCTCACGATATCAGAAGGTCTTGTAGTGGGAAAATTGTCGAATTCCTCGTCCAGTTCGTCCGGGTGGGCAGCTTCAGCCTGTGAGAGCCTCGCATCCATGTGTGGTGGATGCCTTGGCCTGAACCGGTAATTCCAAATCCCAATCACAAACAAGTAGAGAAAAATGGTGGGCAAAATCAATTCCGGGTAGCAAACCAGTATGAAGAACAAGACGTGAACGAGGCACGTGGTCACCGGGTTTCTCCATGTGCAAATGTCATGGAACCATTTGCACACCACCGTAACTCCGGAGAGCAGCGACATTATGCGGTGAAAATTGGCTTTGCTTCTCCTAAGGCTCCACATGTGGTAATCCACGTCAAGCATATACTCAACTGTTTCGCGTCTGAGGGGAGGCTCGGCCCTGGAGAGGCGAGCTGCGACAATCTGCATGGCCTGGTGGCGAAGCCAATCAATGTGCTTCACAGGTATTGGTTGAACATAATGCATTTTGGGAAGCAAAGGCCTCCCATACTGAGCCACCATGTTGACCCAAGCAGTGCAAGTGAACCTTATCGCCAAGTGAAGCTCTCCGTTCTTCTTGAGGCCATTGGGTAAGAGAACCAGCAGGGGATAGAAATGAGTATACACCCTGTCAGTTTCCAGAGTCGATAACCGGATTCTTACTTTTCCAATTCTCTGATCTCTCGCATCACTGCTCCCGTTTATGTGGTGGTTATCAAAAACCCCAATTGTGATCACTGTACAGGGATCATATACTTCCCACGTATACTGCTCGTTCCATCGAGGGGAGAGTGTGTCTAGCAGAGTTCTGGTTCGAACCCATTTGTTCCCATACTTCGCCACGCAGTATGCATCAGTAGTCCTTCCTTCCTTGGCCTTCATGGGTAGCAAATTCCGGGCACTAAGTATCCCAAGTTCCAGAATTCCAATGTTTTTCTTCCTCAAGTGTTTGGATGATGGCTGAAGATCGCTGCTGAAATGCGTGGACTCATCCAGTACGTGATACCCTGCCTCCAGACACACTCGCAGGTGAATCTTGCTCGAGAATTTCTCCTTCTTCCTCTCGGTTTCTTCCTCTCCAACTGCACTGGGCCTGTGCAGATTGTACCAGCGAGAGTCGGGGAGCTTGCTGGTCTCGTGTCTGGGAGAAACACTTCTCACCGATATGATCTCTCTTCCTAAGATTTCTACGCTGGGACCCACTCTGTCCTCAACCGTCACAATGATGAAATCCTCAAACGGCTCTGCCGCCACAAACATGAGCTCATCGTTCCAAATGGGGTTGGTGGTTCTCATCTGAGAAGGTCTGGTGAATCTTATCTGATTCCCCAATTGCACTCTAACAATAGCGTCGGGTGCTCTTCCTTTGTCGGAAGGGACCAGATCTTGAGCCTCAATCACTTGAACTCTAACATAGTAAAGTTTGGGTGAGAAATATACCTTTGAGCGAGTGTTTGAGAGGTTGGAGTGACTAACGTTGTGAGCATCAGAGTGCCAGGCCTCAGGGAAGGACTCGTCTGCTTGTGTTCCCATCCAAACAGCGAGCATGATTTCTCCATTATTCACTTTTAGCCCTTTCTTGTCCTCCAATCTGTACCATTGAGGAGCCAAGGGGCTATCTGGGGGTACCCGAAGAGGAACCTCTGTGAGATCAAACGTAACTCTACCCACAAAATCGTCTTTTCCAATGTCCTTGTCTTTCACAGTCACTTCAAGCAGATTGGATTGCAACCTTTCCTTGGAGAAGGCGAATATTTGCTTCCAAACAGGGTTCTGATTCTTCTCCAAGTGCTTGGTGACGCCCTTGTAGTTTCCCAGCTTCACTTCGGCATAAGGGTCAAGACTCCCCGATATATCCATCACCGGAAGATCCCTTGCCTTCACCACATTCACATACAAGTAATGCATCTGTTCCACCAAATCGTAGGTGGTCGATATCTTATCCCCTCCTCTTCCTCTGTAGCGCAAGCGTGCTGCAAGGGGTGGACTCGTCTCCACCAATGCATACTCTGGGTTTTGCTTCGGCATCTGCATCAGCATCACGTTGGGTGGCCCAGCTTTCGCAGAATCCACCCTCTGTGCCACGTTGGGTTGAGGAGGAGCCTTTGTTGCTGCAGGAATGGAGTGAAAAGTCCTCACTTCCTTTTCTTTCTTCTTTTTCTTCTTCTTCTCGCCATCACCCACCACGCTTTCCTCGTCTATCATGTTAGTGTCTATTTCTTGCAAGGGAGTCTCCTCGTAAGGTTCGGCTTCGGGTTCCACTGCTTCTGCTTGTGGTGGTGGTTGTGGCTGAGGTTGAGGTTGAGGTTGTGGGGGAGGAACCGTGTGATCATAAACCGCATAGAATCTAAGAGCGATAACTCCCTTGATGTTGGAAAATAGAAAGCGTCTCTCAAGCGGGTAGCGTTCCACGTCAGCCTCAGACTCGGACAGAGGAATAGAAACGCCTGCAATTCTCACCCTTCCGAGGAAATTCTTATGGTTGCTACCTTTTCGATCGTTGTTGTTATATACAACCACTTCAATTGTTTTGTGTGGAAGATCTCTGGGGTCATTAATGTTGAAAACAAACTTGTCATTCCAGAAAGGGTTGAGGTCTTTGTGCTTTGTTTGAGTTCTGTGCTTTTGCCCGTCAAATTCAATCTCTACAAAGGGGCTGGATGAGCCTTCCCCATCTTTGGGTGTGAGGTCGCTGGCATTCAAAACTTCCACCACCAGCTTGTTCATCCTTCTAAATGATTCAATTCAATTAAAGCAAAGAGTAGGAGTGAAGAAAAAAAAAAAGAAAAGAAAAAGTAGACAGAGTTGGCGGTAGCGGTGGTGATGAGATGCTCATTTGGAGTGTTAGAGAGAGAGAGAGAGAGAGAAAGAAATGCGGATATGTATTGCTATTCGGTGGCCCCTTCTTTCATGTGCCTTTCCATCGCTACACTTTCATTCTACCGCTCTTTGCTTATAGGTTGATGTGCTTTTTGGATAGAAGATTCAGGATCAGGACACTTCCCAACCAAAACCATACACAATTACACTTCTTTAATTTCATGTGCTCTTTTTATTTTGTAGATTTACATGTAACATAATAATTATGTATATTAATATGATTTTTTATATATTATTAGAATTAATCTTTTGTTCTTACAGAGGTGCTGGTAGCTGTTTGTAGATTTAATTATTAATCTATGGGTGGGTTGTTTGATTTCGATTGTCATGATGTGGGGTGGAAGAAGAGGATAAAGTTTAGGTGGATGAAATAAAAATAATAAAAAATAATTAAAAAAGGTGGGCCAGATGGGGAAGTATGAGAACATTCAAGCACTATAATGTTTTTAATAAACAATTTTGAAAGAAAAAGCAGATTTCACTTTTGATGGGGATATCTCCCTTTCAAAGGAATTAAGGCAGATCCATTATTCAAAGGGGCAAAGGAGAGGGGTCTCTCACTGTCTCTCTCTCTCTCTCTCTCTCTCTCTCCCCAAAACAAAACCTGTCAAAGTCTTTTGTCCAAAAGCTCCGCAAACTAATAAATTTGCTTTTGCTCGTATAATACAGTAATTAACAAATACAACTTTTGTGACTTTTATGTTGTTGCTTTTTACAACTCCACGCTATATTTTCGTTCTTTTACTAAATTTTCACGTGAAATTCACATAAACAGGCCTTGCCTAATTCAAAAGAAGAGAACTCGAGTCACATAAATTTAATACAAGAGTGTATTAAAAATATTTAATGCAATATTTTTCTGAGAGTAAAGTTAACATTTTTTAAAAAGAAAAACATGGGAAAAGGGTGCGTAAGCCGCGACCTTGGGTGAGTCAGAGTCAACGAAACTTGAGACCTAACTTAATTGTGGGCAGGTTTGCTTTGTCATACAATGGACCCAAACCTTTCCGGTCTCTGCTTCGAAACGTGCGTGTCGGTTCGCATTTACGCTCTCCATTCCTCTCTCTTTTTACTCTTCTTTTCTGTTTTTTTTTCTTATTTTATTTATCATTTTTAAACTAATATTTTAAAAGATATAATAAAAATTATATTTAACATTTTAGTGAAAATTTATAAGATTTAATATAATAGTATTAAAATATTATATTTTTATAAAAATTATTTTTATTGCATATTCTTAAATACATTAAAAAAACTATTTTTTTTCTTTTTTGTCTCTTTTTTATCATTAAAACAGTTTACTTTTAATGTATTATTCACCGTGTTAACTAATTAAAATACATCATAAATATAGCTTTCTTTTATCAATAAGTACTATTATTTTAACATTTAATTTAAATATTTATACCAAACACCTTATACATAATACAAAACAGTTATGTTATAGTTGTACAAGATGTTTAATATAGACACCAGCGTGAAAATAACATTGTTCATCAACAAAATCAAGTATTAAAATAGAATTATTTTACATTAATTAATATAAAATTTAACTATTTTTATTAACAAGACAAGATGTTGAAACAGTGATATTGTTCGTAGATGTAAAGAAGGAGCGTAGATGGATGGCCACATAACTGAATATAATAATACATTAACAGTGAAGCGACCAGCATTCTGATTTCTGAATAGCTAAGGTTTGTGCGTGAGTCCAATCCAACAGATAAGCAGTGTAACGTTCGCTTGCGTGTCTTTGCGCCTTTCCTTATTTTCTGCTTTTCTTTCTCTTCTTTCTTTGTTACATTGCGTTCATAAAAAGTTATATTAAAACATAGAATTCGGCCAAAGTTTCGTATGTATAAAAAATAAATAAAAAAGTTAGATAAATTAATTAATTTATTTATAATTTTTTTACCTTTAATCCTTAAAATTGAGTTTAAGAAAAATATAATAAATACTATTTGTTACAGTTGTACATCTACCTATCTTTTTACTTTTCTCAACATAAACAATCGTAAAAGGACAGCATTAATAATGTCTTATACGGTTACTGCCATATTCAATGAAATGAATTTAGCCAAACAATTTTTTTTATTACGGAACTGTTAATTCTTTTAAGAGTATTGAGACTTAAGGTGTATTTAATATTTTTAATTACATTATAAAATAAGTAATAAATGTGTTTTTTTTCCTATTAAATACCTATGTTTCTTTAAACTTTCTTACATTATCAACTGATATTAACGTTATTTAATTTTTTTAAAAATAAAAAATAATACTTTCTTTGATTCTAAAACTGAGAAATTATTAAAAAAATTTGTAAACTGAAATATATTTTACGAAGGGTCTAGAAAATTTTAAAGAAAATAAATTACATTTTTCTCGGTTATAGCTTTTTACTTTCCTGTGTAATTGTATTAAATATTTAAAAAAATATTTTACTGCTCTCAACTTCGATAAAAGATAAAATACGCATGGTCTTATAACCATTTTTTTATTTTTTATTATCAATTAACCCTTATAAATAGTAAAATGACACAAAAAACCACGAAGAGATATATGAAAAAATAAAAAATATATAATCGATCATTTTATATATATTAAGTATCATATTATTTGTTACATAATTCTACAATTCTTGAAGAAATATTTATAAAACATGAATGAACAGGATCTTAATTTCAATATAAAACCTTAAACAGCAATAATAATAGATTTTGGTTTGATGAATGATTGAGGTAGATGCGGTGAGGCTGTGAACAGCAATTCATTTCCTATAAATGAAATGGTGAAAGCGATGTGTGGTGTCGTATTGATGGTACGTGTTATGTTTCTTAAATATTTGCAAGCCAAGTTGGTTTCGCACCACATGCCAAGTGCACATTCTTCTTTAACCTTTTCAGAAGAACGTAACTGGGCCTCAAGAATATACCCCAATAAAGTAGCCCATTCGTCTTTGCCTCTGCATAAGCCTTTATATCAACTTCTAAGGCCTTTGAGGGGACCATAAACCTTCTCCTACTCTCTCTTCCAAATGACCACCTAACTCCATTTTTGACTAATATGCACCAAGGGACCACTCTTGTTTAGAGCTTATAAGTGTGATTAGATGCTTCACCTTACAACTCTGGTTAATTTAAAATAATTAATTATTATGATATTTTTCTAAATTAAGAGTGTATTCTATATTATTCTTACTGTGAAACAGTAACAAACATTACTTTTATATTAAATATGTACAAATTTAACTTATAATTTTATATACATAATTTTGTGGTACTTTTCAAGACTAAGAAAATATTTTATATTATTTTTATCGTAAAATAATCTCAACCGTTTATATTATATTAAATACGTATAATAAATAATAAGAATTAGTTGTCTACCTTTAAAAAATATAGATATTTTTAATTTTTAAAATATTTAAAAATATATAAAAATTAATTTAAGAAGTGTATAAAATGTATTTCTAAGATTATGCATGTAATAACAAGTACATAATTTTAAAAAGAGTTGGAATGAGTTTACTTATTTTGTGTTTAAGTTAAACTATTATTATTAGAAAATAAAACGTTAGGTCAAATTCAAACATATTTTATCATTTGGTTAACCAGGACTTTTAAGATTAATTCTAAATTTCTGAAAGTGTAAGTTTTATTTTATAAAATATCTTATTTTGTATATTCTAAATATAGTAAATATATTCTTTCTATTATTTAATCAGAAAAATTCTGATAGCATATCATAAACTAATAATTTCAAAAGCTTAAATTATCACGTGAAACCATTTAAATAGTGTTTAGATTATGTTTCTAAGATATTCCTCTTTCTCTTGTATCACATCATGTCTATCATGATAACATATTAGGGGTAAGCGAGTGCGGGTTTACTTGCAAACCCGATTAATTTATCCAAATAAATAACAAAATAATAAATTGGTTTGGATTTAAAAGGTAAAATCTAACTTTAATAAGTTTTAATGTTGAATTTAAACATTTAAAAATCAAACTAATATATATGAAAAAAAAATTAAGATTTATTTGATTGTATAACAGAAAAACATCGTATTAAAAGAATACTACTCAACATTTTTGTGACTATTAATATTATATTATTTTTGTGAAATATTAATATTATATTTGACTATATTGAAGAATTGTTAATTTATAAATGTATTAGAATACGGAAAATATTAACAATTTTTTAGACTTCATATTTTTTTAAATTTTTGTACTTACACTAAAAATTATCATTCGTAATTTTTAAACTTTATATTTTTATAATTTTTAAAAATATATAATATTTTAATATATATAATTTTTAAATACCATATAAAAAAAATCTCCACGGGTCCAATTACACTCTTATAAACATATGGCTATGGGGAAGCTTCTTTTCCAGGCTGTTTTTATTGTCGTTTCGGATTCACTGGTGGCATCGCTTTCGCTGGTTTTCTGTGTAATAGACTGAGTTATATTCCTGGGCCGGGCTGATTTATTGGGCTGGACTCAGAGGTATCCGTTATGGGGAAGGGGCTCACATATTCATTGCAATTTAAGATAAAAAAAAAAAAAAGAAGAAAAACTCAATACGATTATTGTAATTACCATTTATCTTCCCTCCATTTTTTGTCTAGTACATTTGCTGCTCTTTTTCTTGCATTCTTATTATCAGATCCATCTTTAGATTTACGCTAATTTGAAAGGAAAAAAAAAAACTATTACAACTACCTTCAAATTGTGTTAATATTGAGCATGCATGCTTGATATTTTATTACGCATTTATTGTATATTGTTGGAATGAAAATTTGAGAGAGAAAAAAAACAGTATCTGCTAAAACACTGCATTTGTTACAATCGTCTTCTAAGATTCATTAATCAAAGGAGGCTAATGCATCATTATCACAAGAAAATAACAGTACTACTTCCAGGCATGGTCACCTCTGGTGAAAGGATAGCAAGCTTAAAAATTAGTATTTACAAATGCATATGACTATATGTTGTTATTCTGATTTTGCTTTATGCCAAAAATGAATTCAAACCAGCAAAATCATGTTTTTACTGATACAGCAAATATATATAATCTTAATTTTTAATGCATTAAGATTGGTAAATTATTTAGATTAATTAAAAAATATTTTAATTTTCTCTTTCATTCTTAAAAATTATATATTTTTTTATCATAATTTAATTTGCTTTTACATCCGTTGATATTCAATTTCTAGATTTTAAAAAGGGGAAATGGAATCCCGAGTCTAGACTCGTCCCGCGCTTGCATATCGACACGAAGAATGATACGTGGGCAACTGGCGAGGTCGCATTACACGTGGCGGTCTGTGATTCCATTTCATCATGCAACGTGTCCGTTTACCCTACCGAGTTCGAGACTTATAACCGAACCAATCCTAGAAAGAAACAGCAAAAGCAGTGCAATTTGAGGAGGAAGAAGAAGAAGAAGAATGATGAATGTTTTAGGGCTGAGTCTGGTGTTAGCTTCACTCGCTGCAGCGGGCATTTTCTCTCCAAGTGCCACCCCAGACACGCAGCAGCAGCAGAAGCAAGGAGCGAGCACCATTTTCAAAGAAGGCCACAGAGTTGTGGTTGTTGAATACGACCAAGATGGCCATCAGAACACAAAAATCTCAATCTCTCCAGAACAACCCACCCATCATGACGATGGAGGAGTTCTAGACAGCGCCAGAGATAAGATCAAAGAGGCTGCTTCGGTTCTCCCTAACTTGGGTCAAGGCATTTCACAGCACCCACAAGACGCAACCTTTCTGCATGCACCAAAAGAGCTCATTTGCGATGCCTATGGAAAATGCAAGCACAAGATAGCCGACGCAATGGACAAGACCAAGGACAAGGCTCAAGAGGCCATCCACAAGAAGAAGGATATGATTGCTGCCAACAAGGAGGCTGCACGCCAAGTTGGTGACACTGTTGCCGATGCACTTGGAAAGGCTAAGGAAACGGTGTATGATAAAGCCCATGATGTCCAGGAACACACCAAAGAGACTGCAGAAATATTAAAGGAGCATATAGTTAATAACATTTCAGAAGCTAGGGACACTTTGCGGGACGCCAAAGACGCAATGAAGCGTGTTGCGTGCAGTTTAGGATCCATGGAGACCCTCGGTTCTGTGATGGGGGTGGCTAGTTTGCTGGGGTTTGCCACGGCTTATGGGATGTGTGTGTGGATTACGTTTATCTCCAGCTATGTGTTGGCCAGGGCTATGCCAAGGCAACAATTTGCAGTGGTGCAGAGTAAAATTTACCCCGTTTATTTCCGGGTTATGGCTTATAGTATTGGGATCGCTTTGTTGGGCCATGTCTTAGGCCATCCAAAGAGACTGCTTCTCAACAAGGCTGAAGCATTGCAAGCTTATAACCTTTTGGCCTCGCTTTTCACTGTTTTCGTCAATTCTCTTTACTTGGAGCCTCGGGCCACTAAGGTATCCCACCCACTGTTGTTTTAATTTTAACTAATTACTTTTTCCCATGTTCTTCAAATGTTGCTAATATCATGAAATATGGTTGCTGGATTCTATCTTATTGAGTCCTCTGAATGACGAAAATCAATACTTCTTTAGCTACAGAGTTTGTACATATTTGCATAAGTTGGGTTCGCATTAAATTTATAAATCGCTTTGTCTGTTTTGATTGCTTAATGGTTATATAAAAAGCAAGGAACGAAAAGTGGTAGCCAACGGGTCTCTATCTTATTGAGTCCTCAACTTTCTGCATTGAATTGATCTGTTCTATTGGAAGTGAAACAATGAAATCAATCTCCTGTGCAACATCTTTAGTTTTCTTAAATTCTCGGTGATTTTATGATTCACTAAGCAATTTCTGCTTAGTTTTACTTTTAATAATCACATCTTGAAGAAATTGGTGATTGTGGCTATTAGTTTTAAAATACCAAATTGATTCATATTTTTTCCTCCTTAATGATCAGTTGATGTTCGAAAGGATAAAAATAGAAAAAGAAGAAGGAAGAGGCAGAACGGATCTGAGGGGTGAAGGTAGTAGAACGGAAGAGCCTCAGCAAGCAGCTGATCCTAAAGAACCTTCCACAACCACGCAGAGGACAGATGAGGATGCAGTGAGATCAAGGATAATCAAGCTGAATGACAAACTGAAGAAATTGAATTCATATTCCTCACTCCTAAATATCCTCAATCTCATGTCTCTTACTTGGCATCTGGTTCATTTGGCACACCGTGTTCACCGTACTTGCTAAACCCAACAATACTTTTTTTTAGTCATGGTTGTCTTCTGTGTTGTTTGTATATGTGTTGATATTTGCAAAGACTGTAGTCTCTAGATTTGTATCTTCCAGGTTTGAGACTCCAATATTGCAGCTATATGAATACAGTTTTTACCACTTCTTGTCGTAAAGTATATTTAATTTGGGTTGTCAAATACCGGTAGTGTAGAACACTTTGTTGCATTGCTTCGATCATGGTTAAATCGAGAGTAATTCCTGAACCTGTTCTTGATCCAACTACAGGAGTGGACCTTCCACTTGAGTTTACAGACATGATATGCAATATTATAGCTAGCACTAGTAGTATAAAATTCCATTAATTAGCTTTTCAAATGTACAAAATATATTCTGTTCTTAGTTCATCATTCCCCAGTATGGAAGACATCTACGGTAGATTTATCAATTTTTATGCTTATTTATTCTGAGAGAGCACACGAAAGACAAATGTAGAATCTCAATCTAGCAATCCACGAAAGTATGGGGAAGAATCTTTTGAGGGGAGGGTCAAAAGGAAAAAAGGTGTTACTCGCTAGCTTCTCATGCGTTGGGAGAAGTGTACGTGGTCCTAACGTCCTAACTCGAATATATAGTTTGGGATTTTCTCAATTTCGGTGGTATTCAGTGTATGATTTTGAGTTAAGAACGTGATTTTTATATAATTTTGATTTAAATTCTTTTTAAATAACTGAAAGGTCATATCATTATATAGATAGAAAAATAAAAAACTAATTGAGAATCGAATTTGACAAAGTTAGAATTTTATCTAGTATAGGACAATTATCCAATTCGACAATAGTTTGAGATCATTGAATTGTATTGAAGTTTTCAAAGGATGCTAATTGAGGGAGTAGAAATATTTTGTGGAGCATTTGATTGATACATACAGATGCCAAGAAGATGGTAGTGGATAGGCTTGAAAAAAAATCCAGTTTTACAAGTAGAATTCATAACTAATACTTTTAAAAATTTAGATCTATATTAACTGAATTGATGAAATTAAAAGGAAATGAAGAGCAAGAACTAATAATTGAAGAAGAACTAATCATGAAAGACTTTGTTGGTGATAATGATAGCAACAAGTCATTGGATGATAGTAATTTTGATAATAATAATGATAATTTAAGCACAAATTTAATATGATCTAATTACATGAATTTAGAATATTAATTGAAGAGCAATTTATAGAGTCACTTACGTGGACTTATTTGGGATGCGATTTCTTTCTAGAATCTAGCAGAAAATTAAAAACTTTCTTTGCCTAATTATTCTCTTCTAATCTTAGGTTTTTAATGGGACAAACTTAGAGAACAATGGAATGTGTTACTGTAACGGTAAAGGGGACTTAGCCACTATATTTATTAACCCTAAGCACTTCTATCATGGATTTAGAGGTTAAGCCCACACTGAATTCTACACTAGATCAACATTAAGTGTTTAAAGCTCAAATAATTGATCACATTATTAGTGGACTTAAATATTATCAAATGAATTTCAATATTAACTTATTTTTTGACAAAATAAAAAATCACAATTAATTATAACCTATAATAAATTTTATAAGAAATTTTAACATTCTTTTACTTGGACAAAATCAATTGTGCAGTTTATAATTTTTGAAATTTAAAAAAAAAATGAACCTCAGGCTAATAACATGTGGTCACAAACATATGATCCCAAAATATAGCACTTAATTGAGACTCCATCTAACAAAATCATGCAATATCGAATCATAGCGATAATTGCATCCTTTATTAATACAATTCCTTCCATAGTTACGAATACTACTGATTTCATAGACTAGTCATCTGTGTAGAGTGTGGTTGTAACATCTTAAAATAATTTTAAGTAATAATTTCGCAGAATGGGAGTAATAAAATTTTCATTTCAATAAAAAGATCTTATCAAGAGCTTCATAAAACAGTTCAAAACAATAAATGATTACAAATTTATATCAAAGACTGCTATAGGACTAATTCAATTACATAAAAAATTTTAAAATACAATCTAAGTCCTATAGCAATTCATCATTCCTTCACTGAGTCCGATGCTGATTATCTTGGTCACCTGAAAATAAATATAAGGGTGAGTACTCTACACTATCTAACACACATAAACATAAAGACTCACCTCAAATACTACATATTTTCTAACATATTTTAAATCATGCATCCACAATACAAGCATCTCAATCTCAATCTCAATCACAATCACAATCATCATTCATCATCTATCCCAATTCAAAACACAACTGGTGCATTCACTGCACCAACATTTTACACACGTGCGCTTACCGCATCTAGCCACGCCCACTGTGACACTGTGATCACAATTTCACACCATGAATGATTGCCGGTTACCCCTGCCTCACGGATACTGCGTGGGCAGTCACGGGTCGCTCTGCAAAGGTAGTGATCAGAGGTCAAGTCAGGAGGAGAGTGTATAGCCTGTGGTGCACCCACTCTCATTGTGGTGTAACCACTACTCTTTTTTCCCTAAGGTATTTTTACCGTCCCCATCTTCCACACCTCTAGTGTATTTCTGAAACATTCATAGCATATCATACACGACAATACTTTGCCCACATTTATTCACATTACACGGCACAGAGGCCCACATTCATTTACAGTACATAGCACACAGGTCCATAATTCATTCACAATACTCGGCACATATGTCATTATTCCATCATACAAGATATCGACAGGTCATCTATATCCATTTCCAACATTTACACTATTCAATCATCATTCCTCAACATCCTCGCCCACATTCTCAATTAAGGGTATGTCAACCCCACAATCAATTCACATTTCACTCCAAACACAATTATTTTCACCAAATCACACATTTTCTACTCTCTATTTCAGCCACATCGCAACATCAAGTGCTTCATACTTTTCTTTAATTAAATAAAGATATCCATATCAGGAAAAATCATCAATAAATGTAATGAAATAAGTTTTATCACAAGTTGTAGGAATTAGAGGCCCACTTATATCAGTGTGAATGATCTCTAAGAGGTTTGTACTCCTAATTGCACATTTCTTTTTTGTCTTAGTAAACTTTCCCCTAATGCAACTTACACAAGTTCCTAAATCATCAAAATTCAATGAAGGTAGTATATTTGTCTTTGTCAACCTTTCAACTCTTTCCTTAGAAATATGACCTAAACGTTTGTGCCACAACATTAAGGATTTTTCCTCAACCTAAGATCTTTTAGCAACACAATTTTCAATGACTAAAGATAAAGAAGTATCATCAGAAGTTAAAGACAATTTATATAAACCATCAACTAAAAGTCCATAACCAACAATTCGGGAGTTCAATGTCAAATTTATTTTTCTATCTCCAAAAATAAAATTAAAACCAAGTTTATCTAAACAAGAAACAGAAATCAAATTTATCCTAAAAGATGGTACATAAAATGTATTATTCAAAATCAACTCAAATCTACAACTTGAAACTAAATTGACATCTTCCACTTTCTTCACTAAGACTTCAAGATCATTTTCTACCTTGAGCTTGTTTTCCCTTAAATTGGGCTCCCTCAGAATTTGAACCCTTGTAACGACACACCAATATGAGTTGTGGAACCACTATCAATCCACCAAGAGTCTATAGGAACATCAACTAGATTAGATTCATAATAGATAAGAGCTAGAAAATTACCTTTAGATTTGTTATTATTCTTTAGCCAAGCCTTGAACTTTTCACAATCAAATTTCTTATGTCCTTTCATTTTACACCAAAAATACCAAATATTCTTCTTAAAGACTGTTGGTTTAGGTTCTCCTACATTGTGGCATTGACTCTTACCTGGTTTTACTGAACCTCGATATTGATGAGAACATTAGAAGACTTATTTGCATTTTTCTAATTTTCTTGGCCAGAAGTGGGTTTACTATGGATAGATAAAAGGGCTATGTCAATATTTTCTTTCTTAAGTTTCTCTTCCTCAGCAACATACTTGTTAATGAGGTCGTTCACACTCCAATTTGCACCAATGGTATTATGGGCAGAGTTGTACCTTTCTCCGGAAGACCACTCAAAAGATGTTTAGAGATTGTTCTCTTGATAGCGATTAAGCTCAATCTGTCAGACCTCTTCCATTGAGCTAAATGCTCCTTTTGTTCAAGTGTGCTGTTTGCATTAATTGTAGGCTTATCTCACTTAAGGCTAAGTGAAGATCAGCAATTTCCAAAGAGAAGTCCAAATTTTGTTTCCACTTACTATAGTTTGACCCAGTTAGGATCTCAATAGATGCAGAACAATTATTCATAGAAAAATTCACTGATAAGATAAAACATTAACGCATTAGATCATATCATAAGACAAGATATAGCTCAAGATGAAAAAATAAGCTATCAAAGTGAGGCCCATAAAATAGCATATTCTCCTTTGGTAGAATACACTAACCAAGGTGATTACTCAGGCCAATACCTCAGGTGGGTTAATCCATGAACACACACCAAGCTCAAAAAATTGTCCCCTTTAGGCGGATAAATCTCTCAACTTAATGCATTTTCCAGTAACTCCATCCAAATTCAACTTTCAACCTATACATTCAACTACCCCTTTTGGGCAGACAATCACATGCAAAGATTAAAAACATTCCTTAAATTACAAAAAAAACTTTATGAACCAATACAAATGGTCCCACTTTGGTGGTAACAATTTATAGCAATCCACAAAATTCCTTGCACAGGAATCAATATTCTTTTGTCCAAGTTATGAAACAAACGAATGCATCAAAGTTGTTCTTATTTGTTGTTCTTTAATCATCAATTACATTCACAACATGTTTATACTTAAACAATAACAATTAAATATTAATAATAAATTTATAACAGCAGAAATTTGAATAATAAGTAATCGTAATCTCATCAATTATAATGCAAGTATACGTGAGATAGAATATCTTGTCATAATAATGTAACAAGAATTTTAAATTTTAAAGTGAAAACAACAAAGTG